TTCTGGCTCCCCTGGAGAGCCAATCTCAGGAAGAGGCATCTTAGGAGGGGGATCTCAGCTTGGGCTGTAGGGGGTGGGGGACTAGGCAGACAGGCAGATCCTGGGACTGAATGGAGAGTGGAAAGTGAATGTCTAGAGGGGTGGGTGACACCCGGACCAGACAAGCGCCTGCTGCAGAAGGATGATGGATAGAGCTTCAGAGAGACAGAGGAGACCTGTGGGGCGGCTTCTGGGAGTAGGCAGGGCCCAGGGTCGGACAGAAGCCCAGAATGAGGGGCAGGAGCTGGGAAGATGACAAAGGGACAATCTGGAGGTAAGTGGGCAAGGCTGAGGTGGAGCCAGGACCTGTGTGTGTGTGTGTGTGTGTGTGTGTGTGTGTGTGTGTGTGTGTGGTGGGGAGGGAGGGTGAGTTTGCAGCCCAGCCCCTGTGGAGCACAGCTGGGGGTCTGGAGGACCCAGGCCTCCTGCCTGCCCATCAGCTGGCACAGGTTGACCTCTCCCTCCACACCTAGAAAGAGGGGCCAGCGACGGGGTTTCCAACTGGCCCTTAGCCAGCAGACTGTGGGCATAAGGAGTCGGCAGTGGGCTCAGGCACTCGAACCCCCTCCTCCCAGACAGGGGTGCTGCATGAGGGGCCGCAGGGGTGATCGCATGGCCATCAGCATCCAGGAGCACATGGCCATCAACGTGTGCCCCGGGCCCATCCGGCCTATCCGCCAAATCTCTGACTACTTCCCCCGCCGGGGACCAGGACCTGAAGGGGGCTGCGGGGGCTTTGGGGAGGCCCCTGCTCGGCTGGCCCCCCTGGCCCTCGCTCCCCCTGCAGCCCTCCTTGGAGCCACCACGCCTGAGGATGGAGCTGAGGTGGACAGCTATGACTCGGATGATGCCAGTGAGTCTAGGGGCTTGAAGGGCCAGGGTGCTAATGGGGGCCTCCAGGCTTGTGGGAAGGGGAGGGAGCCCTGCCGTGTGTGTGTGTGTGTGTGTGTGTGTGTGTGTGTGTGTGTGTGTGTAGAGGCCACAGGGGCTGCAGTCAGTGTGGGGATTACAGCTTCAGCAAGGCTCAGTATCCAATATTTCTGCTGAGACAACCACCCACACAGCCCCAGTTGCGGCCCAGCCGGGAATCCAGACCACACACACTTGCAGCCTGGCAGACAGACATACACCTTCACAGCCAGCACACACAGCCGGCCTGCCCACTGGTCTCTCACACACCTGTCTTTACACACTGACTCACACGACCTCACACGATGTCTCACACTGACTCTTCTCTCTTCTCCAGCTGCCCTGGGCACGCTGGAGTTCGACCTTCTCTACGACCAGGCCTCCTGCACTTTGCACTGTAGTATCCTCAGGGCCAAGGTGGGTGCTCGCTACCTCCCAAACCCCAGCTCTGTTTGCCCCCCACGTGGCAGGGATGGGTTTCCATCCTCCCTTCCTTTCCCCAGGCTGGACCCCTGCTCCCCTCCTCACGCCCTGCTCCCTCTAAGTACCCTTCTTCTCAGCTCTCCACCCCTCAAGGATCCACTCTGCAGAGGGATGGCCGAGAGCTCACAGCCCTCTCCCCTCCCCACCTCTCCAGGGCCTCAAGCCCATGGATTTCAATGGCCTGGCTGACCCCTATGTCAAACTGCACCTACTGCCTGGAGCCTGCAAGGTAATAGCTTCCTCCCACCCCAGCCAGACCCAGCTTGTGGGTCTGACCCTAACCTTCCCCGCTTTCAGCCTCTGTGGGTCTAGGGGCATACATTGAGAACCTTCATCCCCACGCCTCAGGCCAATAAACTAAAAACTAAGACTCAGAGGAACACTCTGAATCCCGTGTGGAACGAGGACCTGACATATAGTGGAATCACAGATGATGACATCAGCCACAAGGTGCTCAGGTGAGGGACCCAGCCTCCCTGCTACCACAGGTTCCAGTGCAGCACCTCCTCTGGGGCAGCTGTCACTGGAACCTTCTTTGGTTGATCTACTTCCCGTTAAGCCCCTCTCAGACGCTCAAGTACAGTCAGCGGATCCTGTCCCCTTTGGCAGCAGGCTGAAATGTTTCTGTCGCGTTCCTACCCCCAAAATGTCTTCTCCTGCTCCTCCTACTGGGACTGCGCTCTTCTGACTGTCAGGTTCATCACTCCTAACCTTTGCCTGTTATCTCTTCTACTTGAAAAGCGCTCCCTGCTTCCTGCTTCTTTTCTGCCACCCTAAATTTCACTCATCATTTGAGGTTCTGCCACTTCCAGAAAGCTTCCCCTGGTCACCAACAGCCCTTTTCAAAGCTCCTGACTAAGTCAGACCTATGCAGTGGAGGTCTGCCCATTCTGCAGTCTGTGTCCTCCTGGCATCTCTAAGGAGTGAAGTCTTAAGGGACAAGAAACTTGCTCAGTCATTCTGGGAGGTGGAGCTGTGGGGGGAGTAGTCCCTGGCGGGGAACGAAGGGCAGCAAAACCTACGCTTCTGAGAGAACTTTTTTTTTTTTTTTGGCAATAGGGAGCTATGGAAGAGTTTGCATCAGGGTAGGTTATAGTTAGCATTGTGTTTTAGAGAGATCACCTTGGTGTTGGGTGTGAAGTGGACTGGAGGGGAGGAGAGAGGCAGAAACCAGAAAGACTGGCCCCATATTTCAGATGCTAGAGAATGAGGATTCAATCATTTTGTGAGTGCTTAGTAGTACCCAGCCCTGGGCTATGCACTTTGACATTTCTACATTTCACTTGACCCTCATAATAGCTTTAGGAGGTTGGTAATCACTATCTCCATTTTATAGATAGGACCTGAGGCTTCAGGAGGCTGACTTGCCCAAGGTCACACAGTTGCTAGTAAGTGGAAGAGCTGGGAATTGAACACTCCTACACAACACAGCTACTCAAGAGTGTCACAGCAGAAGGAAGCGTGGGGGCTACGGAAGGGGACGATGGAAGTAAAAGCAACCATTTCTTGTCTCTGGATTCATGGGCTTCTCCTAGGCCAGCTCCCTGCTCCATGCAGAAAAGGACAGGAGCTCCAGAGCTGCTTGTCTGACTGCCCAAGTTTCCTCAAGGCCCTTCTAGCTCTTACATCCTGAATCTGTGACCCGCATCCGCCAATGCACACCCTACGCACATTCAGTAGGATCCTGTCCACAGGCCCTGAATGGAGGAAGGATGGGGAGGGTCCCCAAGATCTGTGAGGGCTTCCTGAAGCAGCTGAGCAGATCCCGATGGACCAGACACAAGCTGGGCAGCTGTCAACTGAGGGGCAGAGAAACAGGTTGAATCAAAGCATCCTCGGGTGCCAGGCCTGGTGCTCACCGCACAGCCTGTGAGACAGTCCATTTTACAGGCGAGGTGTGGAGTATTTAAGGCAGAGCAAGACCAGCCTCAAGTGCTCAGGGTTCTATCAGAGGTCCGTTCTCACTGGAGTGGGGCTCAGGCACCCCAGGGGCCCTGACCTTGCAGTTCCCTGCCAGGATCTCCGTGTGTGATGAGGACAAGCTGAGCCACAATGAGTTCATCGGGGAGATCCGTGTACCCCTCCGCCGCCTCAAGCCTTCACAGAAGAAGCATTTTAATATCTGCCTCGAGCGCCAGGTCCCGGTCCGTGTGGGGCTATAGGGTGCCAAGGGGAGGGGGCCCTGGGGAGGCCAGGTTTCCAGAACCTATTCTTTGCCCTCTCAGCTGGCTTCACCCTCTTCCATGTCGGCGGCGCTGAGGGGCATCTCCTGTTACCTGAAGGAGGTAAGGCACCTCACAGGGACCACCAGTCTGGGTGAGAGGTGGCAAAGGTGCAGGCTGACCTCTATGTCTGCCCTGAAGCTGGAGCAGGTGGAACAGGGACCTGGGCTGCTGGAAGAGCGAGGACGCATCCTGCTGAGCCTCAGCTATAGCTCGCCTCGCCGGGGGCTGCTGGTGGGCATCGTGCGCTGTGCCCACTTGGCTGCCATGGATGTCAACGGCTACTCTGACCCCTATGTCAAGACGTGAGCCCTCCCCCTGCCCTGAGGCCAGCCCTCCCCTCCCCAGAGAGCCTGACCCCTGCCTTGTCCACCCCTGGGGACTGGCTTACCCCTGACCACCCAGCTCCTTCACCCCTGCCCCACCTCCTTGGCAGGTACCTGAGGCCGGATGTGGATAAGAAATCCAAGCATAAAACAGGTGTGAAGAAGAAGACTCTCAACCCAGAATTTAATGAGGTAAATAGGGCAGGGACAGAATCACGGTGTGGGGTATGATGGGGTAGGGCAACGCCTCATGGAAGGGGTGGTTTGCCCTGTCCCAGGAGTTTTTCTATGAGATGGAGCTCTCAGCTCTGGCCACCAAGACTCTGGAAGTCACAGTCTGGGACTATGACATTGGCAAATCCAACGACTTCATTGGTAAGGAAGGAGCCCGCTGGGTGGTGGTGGTAGTGGAGGGCTGGCTGGCATGAAATGAAGCCCTGATTTTGCCTCTACTGCTCCACAGGTGGCGTGTCCCTGGGGCCAGGCACCCGGGGAGAGGCCCGGAAGCATTGGAGTGACTGTCTGCAGCAGCCAGACACAGCCCTGGAGCGCTGGCACACCTTGACCAGTGAACTGCCCCCTGCAGCTGGGGCCCTGCCCTCAGCCTGAGCGATGGGCGCAGCTGCCCAGCATTGGCCCCTTGGGGCCGGGTCCCATACCCAACCTTCGCACGAGTGTGTTGCACGTTTACACAGGGTGGATGCCCTACCCCATACTACCTGTCTTATTTTGTGAGAGTCTCTGTGACTGTGGGTCTGTCTTCTTGTGAGGGACCATGAAGATCTGTATTCACATATGCAAACTTTCTCCTGCCTGACTCGCTACTACATGCAAATATGCAAACCACCCAGCCTGTGCACACCTGCAGCTGGAGTCCTGCCCGGCCCCAGCCCCGGCCCAGCTGCTGCTCCTCTCTCCGGCCTCTCCATGCTGCCCGTCCCCTCCACCCACAGGGAGGAGGTCGGATTAGGGGGGGTTTGAAGGAGGACAAAGTTTCCAAAAAGAAAAGGACAAAAACCAAAACAGAGCCACTCCTTTAATAAAGAATCTTTGTTTAAAAAACAAAACAAAACATAACACAACACCTAGCCCTGTACAGCTGCCCTTTTAAAAAGGTGGGGGGAGCATGGGGGCGCACCACAGGGTCTCCACCCCTCCCGGAGGTGGCAGGTATTCCCAGCCACTCATTTAAAATACCCGCCCCCACGATGGGGCCAGGATGTGAGGGCAGACCCCTGCCCTCCCCGGTGAGGTCCCCCTTCCAGGGGACTTTTGTGCATGTTTACACCTTTTCTGATTGTGTCAGTGGCCGCAGCATGGCAACTGGGCGTCAATAAATGTCTCTGTGGAAGCTCGGGGCTCATGTGTGTTGGCACAGGGGGCGATGGACAGGGGCTCGGGCAGGGGTGGGGGTCACTCCGGGATGTCAATCACCAGGTCATCATCACCATCCAGGGCGTCATCCCCGCTGCCTGCGTCGCTGAACATCTGCCGAGGGACTGCACTCAGGATTGTGGGAGGGGGCATCTTAGGGGGTGGCAGTGAGGCCAGGGCTGCCCCCACTCCAGCCGCAGAACCGCGGCTGGGGAAGGTCAGCGGCCCTCCCACAGGGCAGTCGGGGGGTCCCACCGTCATCTGCAGCAAGGAGGGAAGAAACACAGGGAAGGGCTGTCAGGGAGGAATGGGATGTCCAGGAGGCTGGCACTGCCCCTTTAAGGCAATGCTGGGGGGTGGGGGAGGGGAAAAAGCTCACTTAAGGGGTACTGGACACAGCTGGGCCAGCCATGCTGGAATCAGGAGGCCTGCCCACCTTAGCCCCTGCGGAGTCCCAAACCAGCAAGTGCCTGGGGGTATGGGTAGCAATGGAGGCGGTGATGAGGGTGGTGGTGGGGCTCATAGGAAGCCATGAGGGAAATGCTGGGCCCCGCCCTCACCAGGGGGTCACCTCAGCAGCCCCTGTGATGGCAGTTGGCCCTGAGAGCCAGAGTCAGAACAAGCCTGGAGTGCCTGCCTGTCTGCCTGCCTCTAGGCACCTCCAACACAACTTGCCACCACCGGCCCCCCGCCTTCCTCCTACTGTGGGCCCCACTGGTTTGCTGGAAGGTGTCCTAGGATCTTTACTCCCTGCTGCTAGGTGAGGCTTCTTAGATCTGGGTTGGGCCCCTCCTGGGGATCCCCACAGTCACTGGCCTAGGTCAGGCCCTCCTCTGAGCTCACCTGGGCTATGGTACCAGCCTCCTAACGGGATTCCCTGCCTTCAGCCTGTCCCAGATCTGGCTCCTCCTTCACACTGCAGCCAGAGTGAGCTCTCTAAAACACAAACCTGAGCTCGTCATTCCTCCACTTGAGGGCCACAGGCTCCTTACTGCCCCTGGGACAGGCAGTGCTGTGTGCTTGACAGTGGGCTGGTCCCTCCACCTGGAATGTTCTTTTCTATCTGTCAGAAGTCCTGCTTTTTTCCTTTGAAGCTGGAAAGTGGCTTCTGTCCTGACCAACCCCCCAGCCCCACCTCTGCCAGGTTAGCAGGAAATGCTTAAGTGTGGCCTTCACAGTGGCCCTTGTGATTGCTTTAACGCCTTCAGCCCTCACGGCCTACTGTCTGCTTCTCAAGGAGCCCCCACCCTTACTGCTGTTCCTGGGGGGTCATGGACGGCCGGAGTAGGTTTTTAATCAGGGCCAACACCGCAGGGTACAGTGTCTGCCAGGACTAATGATACAGGAGACTCAGCTCTGAACAGCACCCTTGCGCCCAGTACCAGGCATGCATGTGTACGTATGGGAGCAGACACACGTGCACAGCTGGAAAAAAAAAAAAAACAGTGACATGAGGACTGTCCCCTCTGTTGGCTCCTACTCTTGATCCCTACTCTAGTTCCCACATCCTAACAGGCTTCGGCTCACTCCAGGGCTCCTCAGGTGACCCACAGCAGCTAATGTTTATCTATGGCTTACTAGGGAGTAGGCGCTGGGTTAAATTTTCCCTCCCTTTAACTGCTTTTAGCATGACAATGACCCCATGACCCCATGAAAAGAAAGCTTAACTTAAATAACATACCCAAGTCACACTAAGGAGCTGGAATTCAAACCCAGCCAAGTCTGACTAAGGCCCAGGCTCTTAACTGACCTGCTTCAGTCTTCACAGCTTTCCCCTCTCCTCAGACTTGCTCCCGCCAGTCTCCTCACACCAAGTCACCCAGAAACTTCAATGATCCCCATTCCCTTAGGGTCTGTAACCCTCCAGGTTCTGGGCATCAAAGCTTCTCTGATCCCACCCTATCTTACTTTTCTTTCCAAAGCTGTTCTCTCTTACCGCTCCTGCTTCAGCCCAAACAACTTTGTCTTCCACCACTGCCTCAGCCTGTGATATCCAAATTTCACTTACCCTGTGCTCAAACGCTACCTCTTCCTTGAGGCCTTCCCCAATTTATCCCCTTCCCCAAGCACAGCAATTGACTGGGACTCTCTTCTTACCAACATTTTCTCTCCTGTATGTCCAGAACTTAGCTCCCCACCACTCCTCTACTGCAGGACCCAACACCTCAGAAAACCTCAAACCACCATGCCCATGCCACACCACACCTCTACCCATCAGCTCTAGGCTTTGCTGACATGTGCCATCTCCACCATCCTGCTCTATAGGTCAGAAGCAAAAACCCTGCCTGCCAAGTAGAGCAAAGGATCAGGGTATCACCCATTACCTACCCATTTCTCAGGCTTAAGGGCCAAGGTCACACAGGGAGCAGGTGGCAGAGCTGGGATACAAACTCTAGAACCCACACACGGCACCACCATAAACACTGCATCCCACTTCACTTCTGGCTCCAGAATCTTAAGTCAGCGGTCCACCCAACTTGAAAGCTGGCCATCCTGGTACCTACTCCACTTTGACTCAGAGCTGGCAGGGCGCTGTGCCTTCTGGGTCCTCCTGTCTTCTGGTGCTGACTGCGCACACCTCTTCTCTTCTCCAACCATACTCTCACCTGCTGATCGCATCCACGCCGATGACTTCCAAGTATACACCCCACGGGCCCCAGGCTCACGTTCCTCAGTCGTCTTGTTGGCATTTCCAGACAGCATCTCAGCATGTCTGAAACCATACTCCTCATCCTCTCTCCCAAACCTGCTCCTCCCAGTCCTTACTTCTCCAGTTGCTCAGGCTAGAAACCTGGCGTCATCCTTGACTTCCATCTCATAGCCCACACTGGTGTTCCTGAAGCTCATTTTTCAAATAGACCCATGATCCACTTTTCACCCTCTCTACTGCTGTTTGATTTACTGCAGCAGCCTCCTCACTGGTCTCCCAATTTCTGTCCTGACCCAGTCCCCTCCTTCTCCCATCTATTCTCCACACGGCAATGTCAGCACTTTTGTTAACGCGTAAATCAGACCAGAGTCTCTCTCTGCCCAGTCTCTCCAAAGGCTCCATATTCATCGGTAGTGCAAGCCAAAGTCTTCACACACCCGCAAGGCCCTCCACAATCGTGCCCCTCAGTTATTTCCCAGACCTGCTCTCTGATCCTTCTCCCCTTCTAACTTTCATCCAACCACACTGGGCTCCTTCCTGGTCCTTGAACAAGCCATATATGCACCGGCCCATCCCCTGCCCCAGGACCTTTGCACTGGTGATTCTTCCTGACTGAAACATTTTCCCAGAAAGCCATCTGGCTTGTTCTAATTGTTTAAGTCTCTGACCAAATAACATCCCAGACCACCCAACCATAAGTATCAGCCTGCTTCTACTCTTGTGTGTCCCATCCTCTTTACCTGACTTCATTTTTCTGCATTAATACTTATTTATCTTGCTATTTTCTGCCTATCTTGCTAAAACGCCAGCCCCACGAAGGCAGAGATCTGTCTGCTTTGTTCACTACTGCATCTGCTGCACCCAGAGCACAGCCTAGCACATAGCAGACACTCCGTAAACACTGATTGACGACATGTAGTTTGATCCCTCACTTTACAGACACAGAATCTGAGACCTACAGGGTGAAAGAGCCCTGCTCAAGGTCCCATAGTTTTAATTTGTGCAGTCTTGACTTGAATCTGGGTCCCATAACTCCACCCTCCCTCTGGGGCTGCCAGGCACCACAGAACACCTGTGACAATAAGCCCAGCCCCCAGTCCCACTGCAGCAGTGTAAGGGCAGGACTCCAGGCATCTTCACCGAGTCCCCCAGGCTGGCTCTGCCTCTGGCTCGTCTCTACATCAAGCCCGTGAGCCAGGGCTTCTCTAACCCACCCCTCAGTGCCTAGCCCTGGGTTGGGCCCCCAGCAGCCCCAAATCAGTCCTTCAGAACTCTTGGACAGGCCCCAGCCCATCTTGAGCCTCCCTCAGAGGGCTATCCTCCTGCCGTCCTGACCCCTCCCTAACATCCCCAAATCAGGGTACCTTCAGTTTCCGGGGCAGGCGGGGCCGTTTCTCCCGCTTGGGCCTCAGGGGGCTGGGCTCGGGCAGCTGCAGGGCCAGGTAGTCAGAAGGGAATGGGGGGTAGGGGGGGGAAGCCAGCTGCAGGTGGGAGTGGGGGGATGGAGATGGGAAATGGAATGGATGGGTGGGGAGTGAAGGGAAAAAATGCAAATAGGAAGAAGAATGGAAAAACAAGAGATGGTGATGAGTGTGGCTTCTGAGAACAGAAGGGGATGGGACAGCAGCAGGACTTTGTCCTGGGGGCTGCTCTCCTCAGTCATATGTCCCCCATTCCTACACCAGAGAGACCTGGGCAGCCCTGATTTACACCCCTCTAAGGGATGCTTGCTGGCCACCGATGTACCCGCGATGTCCCCGGAGCTGTACTGGCTTCACCCTGAGACCTGGCCCCTCTGCCCAGATGACGCCCACCTTCTTCCCAGGTATCGTAGTTACCATTTCCAATCCTTGACCCCAACTCACCGAGCTCAGGTATGGGGAGGGGGCTCCGGGGACCTGAAGGGGAAACCCTGTTGAAGGAGGCAGAGAGAGGCTGGAGGGAGAGGGGGCTCCCCCCATCGGAGGGCTTCTCTTCCTGGAGAAAGGACAGGAGAGGGGGTCAGAGGCAGCTAGGAGGCCTAGGTGCCCCCCCACCCCACCCCCAGAGACAAAGGATGGCTTCTTCTCACCTCTTGGGGGCTGGTGTGTCTGACAACTTGGGTGTTCCCTCTGTCTCGCTGTTATCTGAAGATGCAGTAGCATCTGAGTCTGTCAGGCAGGAGGGCAGGTCAGTGGGGGTGGTTTCTGTCTACCTCAGAGGAGTATATAATTTTAACTCTATGGAAGGGCTCCAGGGAATCTGATTCTCCAGTCGGTGTGCACGGCTATTCTGGGGAGCCTACACATTTCCCAGCTCCTTAAAATGTGCTTTACAACTGACGTCTACAAACACTTCCTGCCCAAGCTCCTCCATGACAGCACACAGGTCAAGCACTACGTGCCAGACTCACCAGGCATTTTACGTTCACTGCCCTTCCTTGTCTCTGTAACCACCCAGGAAGGAAGGTGAGCACCTCACTTCCACTTTCCACATGAGGTCACTGAGGCTGAGAGTAAGTCGTAGGGCGGGACTTGAACCCAGGTATTCAAATCCTTGAACATTTCACGTCACTCTCCTTATTTGTCTCTAAACTTCCTTCGTCTCCTGCCTCTGCTCCACTCCCTATACGCAGGGTCCTGTTAATCTACCTCTCAAATCTCTCCTACCTTTATCCACTGCCTCCCATTCCAACTGCCACAAGGTCAAGCCATCACCTTGTGGTGTCAACATCAAGTAAGCAATCTCAGTGCTCCTATAGCGCACTATCCACTCCAACTCCAAAATGACCTAAAACCAACCTGATTACAACAGAAATGTTTTAACGTGGCCTCAGCCTACCTTTCTGACTTCCCAACCAAACTGTACACGTCACATCATGCCAATTGATCTCCTCAAAAAGAATTTTATTTCCCAGTTCTGTGCCTCCACTTAGAAGGTCCATCATTCATTTGACAACTGCTAGATGTGATGTATGCCTTTATTAATCTCCTGGCTCAGATATACCCTTTAAAAAGCAAATTAATATACATGTCTAATCACTACTGTACACCTTGACCTTTCATGACCTTGCTCACCTGAAACTAATAATGTTGTATGTAAGCTGTAACTGAAAAAGGAAAAAAAGCACAATATAATGCCACCTCTCTAAGAAGTCTCCTGAAATCCTTCAGGCCATTAATTGTTGGCTCTTTTAGAACTCTGCTCCCACTTGTCAGGATTCTCCTCACACTGTGCTAAAATGTTTCACGTGTAGGTACTTCCCGTGGCAGACTGTGAGCTTCTCCAGGATGTAAGTGGTGGCTTACACGCGTAGCTCTTGCTCCTTAGATTTATCACACTGACCACAAACATGCTGGTTCCCTCATGCTTCCTATCCTGAAATCCCCCTAGAGCAGGAAGCTAACTGGAATACCTCAGGGAAGGAACAAGAAGGCAATGAGAAATAACAGCCAAACATTTTTCCATGACCTACATGTGCTGGCTTCTACCTACTTCTCTGACCTCATTTATCATCTACTATCGTCCCATATGTAAGTAAATGGTGTTATGTGTTCCAATAAAACCTTATTTACAAAAGCAAGCAGCTTGGCTGAATGTTGTTTCCTGATGCTGCTCTAGACCAGTGTTTAAGGGTACCACAGAGAGGGGTGACTGTCAGAAGGCTTCTGACAGACCCACCCTGGAACAGGGACACAAATGCCAAATGCAGGGCTTTTTCAAACTGTGTGTCTTAACTCATTAGTAGGTCAAGAAGTTAATTTACTGGTTTGCAACCAACACTCAATGAAATAAAGAAAAAGCAGCCTAAAAAATATCAGAAAAACTTGTGTACAGTGATCTTAACCTTGTTTCATTAATTCTTGCTTTGTGAGTAAGTTTGTACTTAGGGACTTGGTTGTGATGGAAAATATATTAGATTGTAAACAGTGTCTCAAAAAAAGTTTGAAAGCACTGTTTTATGTATTTTAGCCCTTCTGCTCTTCAGACAACCTGCTCTTCTGTTACCTCAGAGTATTTGCGTTTTATTACTCCCTCTGCATGGACATTTCTCACTTATATCTTCTAAGATTGGCCTCTTCTTCTTATGTAGGGCCCAGCTCAAACACTACTTCCTGTAACAGACCTTTCTTGAGCACTCTATCGAGATATTGCCTGCCATCGGTTTTTATATGGTCTGCAAATTAATAGCTTTTACATTTTCAAATAGTTGAGGAAAAGAACCTTAAAATACCTTATGACATAAAAATGGTGTGAAATTCGTATTTCAGTGTCCATAAGTACAGTTTTCCTGAAATATAGCCATGCTCATTTATTTACATCAGCACCTTTGGCTGCTTTTTGCGCTACAACAGCAGAACTGAGTAGTTGTGATGAAGGCTGTATGTTCGGCAAAGCCTAAAATATTTGTTATCTGGCCCTTTACAGAAAACGTTTATCAATCCCTGGTATACCCCAATCACTACCACATAACCCTGATTTTATTCCTTTCAAATCTAAAATCCTAATTTCTTTCTTATTTATTACCCTCAACTAGAATACAAATTCCAAGAGACTTCGTCTACCTTGATCACCACAGTATCTCCTGGGAAAAGGGCAGTGATTAAAACATAGTAGATATTCATTAAATAATTGACTGAAAGAATGGTAGAGGTGGAGAGCAAGCAACTAGGCTTAAGAACCACTGGAAACTGTTATCAGTTTCCACAGCCTCAAAGGAGGGGCCACGAAGCTTGCTGAAGTGTCAGGAATCAAGTACTCCACCAATTTTTCATGACTTTGCTCACCAGAAGAATCTTCATCCACATTCTCGTACTGCAAGAGTCGGTCTAGGAGGAAACTGAGGAAAGAGGCAGGCAGAAAAAGAGTATTTATTCAAATCTCAACAATGTTCTTCTGGGCCCTTGTCCCTTCTAGCTGGCCCGTTGGATCCTAGCAACAGCCCCAGGGCAGGCATCATGCATTTTGTGACCCCATTCCCGGATGGGGTCCGAAAGTTGAGCCACAGGAACCTCATTACCCGCAGCCTTCCTTCTACCCCTCGCCCCTCCACCCCGCGTCTCACCTCTTGTCTCGGGACACCTTCAGCAATTTCCTCTGCGCCTTCCTCAGTTCCTCCTGAAAGCACTCGTGTTCCTGTATCACAGTCGACGAGCGCACAGAGTGGGCGGTGGTCCGTAAAGGGGCCGGGAACCCCGCGACAGCTCACCCCTTCCCACCCCACCCCCAACACTCACGTAGATGAGGAACTTGAGCTTCCGTTTCAGGTTCCTGTATTTCTTCTTGTAGTCCACCTCGCTGTCCGCCGGCCCGTTCATGATCGCCCCGGGAGCAGTGCCTCAGCACTAAGTCCCGCTACCCCGAGACGGTTTAGCTCAGCCTCTCACGCCTTCACTTCCGGAGATTAGATAAAACTGTGTCAGCTGGAACTACAACTCCCGGCGTACCCCACGCCCAGGGATCGTAATCACACTGGCCGCCCTTCCAGGCAATACCGGAAGAGAAATCTTGCTACGAGGTGCTACGCTAAGGATGGTATCGCGGGACGCAATGATGTCACAAGGATGGCGGACGCTGGAAGGCGTCCTCACTGATTCTAAATGTGCTTAGCGATTGGAAGCCACAAGACTTGTCCCCCGGGGATTCCTAGTTTTCAGTAGAGATGTCCTTTTTCTGTTTTTCGAAGTCGCAGTAGCCTAGCTGTCACGCCACCACGGATGGAGGCAGCGTCACAGATTGATTACGTTACAGCAAAGGTTGAGGCGCAAGATCAGTTTCTAACGAGAATTAAGAAAAAAAACTGATTGGTTCTAAGAAAAGGGCGGGGCCACGAGACCCTCCAACTGCCGGAAAAGCAAGTTTTGTCTGGCAAAGGCCTGGGTCCCAGCGGCCCTTGAGTGAAACCCAACGGTCCCTTACGTCTCGGCGCTATGACACTGCGCGTGCGCAAGCACCTGTCAAACGCGCAGACGGAGGCCGAGAAGAAAAACGCGGGAACCACCTATCTCAGTTGGAGCAAAATGGCGCGGGAGAACGAGATGCAGGAGTTCACTCGTAGCTTCTTCGGAGGCCGCCCGGACCTTAGGTGCCCTGGTGGTTGGGTTTGGGGTTGGAAAGGGCAGGGGCGGGACGAGGACTCCGGCTTGACTCGTGTCTCCGCAGCACGCTCACGCACTCCATCGTGAGGCAGAAGTTCTTGTCTCACACCGGCCGCGACCACCTGGATCCTGAGGAGAAACAGGCACTGAAGCGGCTAGTGGAGGAGGAACTGTTAAAGATGCAGGTGTGGGCGCCGAGCCCCCGTCACGGGAGACAGGGTTTGTTCCTAAGGAGTAGTGACCTGAGGCGGGGGGGTATGGCAGAACACCGCCTCGATATTTTTTGCTCTTTTGATGCACAAACAGGTGGATGAAGCAGGTGCCAGAGAAGGGCTAGACCATGCCAAGGAGGCTAGGAGGCCTCCCACCCCCTGCAAAGAACCAGAGAGAAAAAGGTTCCGTTTGAATTCGGAGTCAGGTTAGTGCCTTCTTGCATAGTTGGTTCATTCAAAGAGTGTTTACTGTACCAAGCAGGAGCGTCCAATCTGTGGCCCACGTGTAGCCCAGGAAGGCGGTGAATGCGGCCCAACACAAAATTGTAAATTTACTTAAAACATGAGATTTTTTTTTTTATGTGTTGCAGTGTATTTAATGTGTGACCCAAGATAACTCTTCTTCCAGTGTGGCCCAGAGGTGCCAGCAGGTTGGACACCCCTGTCCTAAGGCACTGGATAAGGGCGAGGCCAGTGAGTCAGGAACCAGGAAGGGTGGACTGATAGCTGTTCCCTGCATCTGTTAGAGTTTGAGGCAACCTATTCCAAGTGAAGGGAAAAGGGACAGGAGGAACCTGTCCCAACCTTCTCTTCTCTCCACATTCTAGAGCCCAGCATTGCAACCTCCAGTCCAGACCTCGTGAGCCCCCCAGCAAAGAATGGGATGGCAGCAATAGTCAGTCCAAAGCAATATTCAAAAACAGTAGAGAGCAGCGATGGGGAAGAACAGCAGAGGGACCTTACTGCAAAGATTGGATTAGAGAAGGAGGTGATGAAGGAGAGCTGTAAGGAGGAGGAAGAGAGCTCTGCTAGAACAAATAAGGTTTGGAAAGAAGAGAGCAGTGAGGAAGAGGATGGGGAAAAGAAGTCCAAGGGTAGGACTAGGAAGAAACCTGGGATAAGAGACAGGACTCAGGGGAAGGGTGGCAAAAGGCAGAGTGGAAGCAGTGAGGAGGATGGAAAAGACAAATGGAGGAAGTTGAGACCAGCTACTAAACACACTGGAAAGTCAGGCAAAGTGGCAAGTGGAAAGACAGCCAATGGTGAGGCAAGTGACTTGGAGACAGAGGTGAGTGACATTGAGGCAGAGGGGATCCCCAAGGGCAAGAGGAAGAACTGCTCTTATAGGAAGAGCTCCAAGAGAAGCAGGTCACGGAGTTCTTCCTCTTCTTCAGCTGGCAGTCCAGAACCCAAAGGTGGGAGGGTGAGGGTGGAGTGGAAAACTACAATTAAGAACAAGCAGGCACCAGGTGAGATTTCAGCCAGTAGGAAGCAGGCCATGGAGGAGAATGAGAACAGTGAGGAGGAACCTGCCCAGAGGACAGGAAACAAAGGTGCTAAAAGCCACCAGGAAAGTGAAAAGGAGAGTGAGGAGGAGGAGACCCTCGCCAAGAAACAGAAGAGAGAGGAAGAGGAGGAATGGAAACCCAGAGCTTCGAGCAACAGAGGGGAAAAGTCAGCTTTGAGCAGTGAGCAGAAAAGCAGGGCAGCGAGAGTGCTGGGAAACACGGGGGACAGAAAGGAAGAAAAGGTAAAAGCAGATAGTGGGGATGACAGTGGAGGAAATGAAGAGCTCCTAGTGCAAAGGAAGAGCAAGGACAGGACTCAGGGGAAGGGTGGCAAAAGGCAGAGTGGAAGCAGTGAGGAAGATGAGGAAGACAGATGGAGGAAGTTGAGACCAGCTTCTAAAAGCACTGGAAAGTCAGCCAAAGTGGAAAGTGGAAAGACAGCCAATGGTGAGGCAAGTGACTCAGAGAGAGAGGCGAGTGACAGTGAGGCAGGGGTGACTCTCAAGGGGGAAAGGAAGAACCGCACTTACAGGAAGAGCTCCAAGAAATGCAGGACACGAAGCTCTTCCTCTTCTTCTTCAAATGGCAGTCCTGAACCCAAAGGCAGGAAGGTGAGGGTGAAGATGGAGTGGGAGGCCACAATTAAGGGAAGAGGGAGACCCAGCTTCGAGCCCAGAAAGCCTGGCCTTCAGCAGTTCTTCCCTTGCCAGGCTGGTCATCATGGTGAGGACCACCCTGCTGTGATGAGACTAAAGCGCTATATTCGGGCCTGCGGAGCCCATCGCAACTACAAGAAACTCCTGGGCTCCTGCCACTCACGCAAGGAGCGCCTGTGTGTCCTCCGGGCAGAGCTGGAAGCTCTGGGCATGAAGGGTGAGGCTGGGTATGCTGTAGGGGCTGCAGGACAGGGCCTTGGCTGCTGGGGAGGAGAGTATCATGAGCCTCTTCTGCCCCAGGTAACCCTTCTTTAGAGAAGTGTCGGGCTCTGAAGGAGCAGCGTGAGGAGGCAGCTGAGGTGGCTTCCTTGGACATTACTAACATTATCAGCTGTTCAGGTGAGGGGCTTTTTCCTACTTCCCAGGAACAGATGGCACTTGGGCTTTCTCAGACAACAAACCTACTTCTTCCCCCAGGTCGGCCACGCAGGCGCACGGCCTGGAACCCTTCAGAAGCAGCCACTCCTGGGGAACTATACCGCCGGGCCCTGGACTCAGAGGAAGAGAGGCACTGTCCCCCACGCCCAGATTGGTCACATATGCGAGGCATTATCAGCAGTGATGGCGAGAGCAACTGAGCTCCCTCATCTACCAGGGACTTAAGACATTTGTAGAAAGCACATATACATATAGCACCCCCCTCAACCAACCCCTCAAATATGTGCTTGCACTGAACAGAAGCACTTTCTTCTAAGACTCATAACCCCTAGGGACACAGTTGGGATCCTACTTCTCAGCTTCACATTCTCAGTTTAAAGTGTTTATTAGGGGGGTTATTTAAGACTCAATAAAGGTGTGTTTAAATCACCTCATCAACACTAGCCTTCTACTCTTACCCCGCTGTACTTTAAGCCAAGGAGGCTGGGAAGTGGCCTCTGTCCTGCCCACCCCTAGTCTGTTTCCCTTTTAATTTCCCTCAGGTTCTCCAAAGTCCGTTTTTAGATCCTGGCACCTAGTCTGCCTTCAGGCTCTATCAGAAGAGTGTAGCTCCTATCATTGTTCCTCCAGCCTGACCAGCATGCCTCTCTGACCCTCCTGCCTAGTTGGAAGGAGCATCTGAAAAACTGGCCTTAAGAATGTGAAGCAAAAAAGAAATAACTTGGGGACAGCTGGTATTTATGTCTTCCTCTTATGAAAATAGCCACTTCTTATTGAGTGCCACTTCTTATTAAGAGTCCACAGGCCAACTCTTTCAGCATTGCAGGGGTGGGTACAGGACCTATACCTGACCCATCAGAGTACCACCTAGGCCTCTGGCCACAAATGGACCCTATGAAGTCACTTCAGGACTTTGCCAAGATTCTTGTTGTTGAGGTTTCTGGTAAGATGTAAGCCTGGAGCTACCAGGAGTCTGAGCATGAAGTGAACCTTTTAAAAATCTTTGAAGCCAAGGCCAAAAGGCTGATGATCCCCTTTGAAGCTCTGAATCCAGTCATGCCTAAAGTCATTAAAATCACTGAAATTTTTAGTTACACAATGCAATACTTTTTAAATACAAGTAACACTATCACCTGCCACTGGATAGTCCTTAATACACAGCTTAGACAGAAAGGGTGAGTCCTGGGTCTGTTAGAATAATCAACAGTTTATTAAAAGCTCGCCATGGGGCTCTGTGCTAGCCCTGTAGCTGGGAGGGGCTCCCATGACTGTCCCCAGACCTGGGAGCAGTCCCTTCCAAGGTCCTTCCCTTGTTCCCCTGCCCCAGCTGAGTGATCTCAATTAAAAAAAAAAAAAAAAGACAAGACGGCACAGGACGTCAGACGGCAACAGGGGAATGGAAAGACCCAGGCATCCTGACCCCAAGACCCCATCCTGATTCTTCTTCCTAGGAAGGACTTCTCTCCTGTTCTTCCCACCCCAGATCCCAGACTTGCTCTGCCACATCGCAGGTCTGGAGGGCCTGGTGTCCCCAGTCCATGGCCCCATTGCAGGGGTAGTATAGTTCTCTGAATATAATTATGTCTAAACCCACCCTTCCCCTCCCCCAGGGGACTAGATGAATATTTGACACACACACATCTCCCTCCTTTTCCGAGGCTGTGATGGAGAGAGACCCTGGCACCATGGTGGGGAGGCAGGGACTCCTGGTCAGCCTTGAGGCATCTATGCCCAAGCTGACACTGGGCCACTGGCCAGCCCAAGAAGCTCATGAGATGAGGAGATTTGAGGAGAGCTGGAACCAACATCCTGTTCCCCACCCTTGGGTGGGCCTCAAGTTTACAGCCCTCCGGGATCAGGCTCCACCCACCCCTGCCCTTGCCCCTTCATCTGCTCATCCACCTTGCACTTCAAGAATAGAAGTGGGAGGAACCATTGAGTATATGGGAAGCAACACTGGTGCTGCGGCTTAGAGGCCCAGGCACTGCAGCAGCAGGTGGGCCCACATTGTCACTGCCACTGCCCCCCGAGGCTGCGCGTCGCAGGGGCTGGGGGCTGTTTCTTAGCAGCAGCAGGGCTCCACCACGGGGTGTCCCACTCTGTGCTGGGGGCCCCATCCAGTTTGGGGGACCTGGGGGAGCCAGCAAAGAGGGCTGACGCCAGGCTGGTGGGGGCATGCCTGGTGGAGGAGGACCATGGCTCCAGTGTGCCCCGGAACGGGGAACAGGGCGGGAAGGCCAGGCAGGGGCAGGGGGTGGAGCGGGATAGCCCTGAGCAGCAGCCTCAGCTGGGATGCCCCCAAGAGCCATGCTGGAGAAACCCAGCCTCATGCTTTCAGCATCAAAAGCCTCGATCTCACGGGCCTGCCGCTCAAGCAAACTCCGGATTCTCTCGGAGCGCCCTGTCTGCAGAGCGAGCAGCTCCTCTTCCACCTGGGGTACCAAGAAGAGATATCAGAGTCCAGTGAAGGTGAGAGGACTGCCCTCCCCACCCTCCTGTCCTGGTCAAGCCCTCTCACCCGCTGCTCCAGCAGGGCCCGCCTCAGTGCTACTCTCTGCTCCAGCTCTCGCAACTCCCTCTCGTGTTGACTCTCCGTTCGGATCTTGATCTTGCTCTGATAAGCATTGAGCAACTCCAGTTCCTGTTGCAGCTGCTGCCGAAGAGCCTGGAACTCTGCTTCTTGGGTCTCATCAAGCCGCAGCTGGAGGATAGGAAGAACTAGTTTTAGGGGCCTCCTTCCCCACCCCCACAATCCTCCCCTGCCCCAGGTAGGCCTGGGCCCTAAGGTTTCAAGAAGCAGCCAGTGTCAACATCTACCAAAATAAAAGGTCGTCATACCCTGTGACACAGCAATTACACTTCCAGGAATTTATCCCCAAGGTATACTTGCACATGTGCTCGAAGGTGTTCACTGAAGCGTTGTAATAGCAAAATACTGGAAACAACCTAAATGTCCACCAATAAGGGATGGGTTAAATAAATTATGGTACATCCATACCATGGAAAATTCTATGCTGTTAAAAAAAATGAGGTATGTGTACTGACATGGGAAGATGTCCAAGAAATATTAGGTGGGGAAAAAATTAAAGAACAGTATTTAAATTATGATTTCATTTTTGTTAAAAAATTTTATGTAACTTTTAAAATATGCATAGGAAAAAATCTAGTACAATGAATTATTAACAAGTTACCTCTGAGAGGTAGAGCACTGGGTGGAAAAATGGCAACAAATAGCGTTACTTTTTACACCATGTGTATATTTTAAGTGGCCCATTCAAGTGTTACGTGTAATCACTTTTAGAACGGCAACCTTCAAAATCCTCCAGAAGTCTGAGAAAATTGTCCTGAGGGCTACAAGCATTTTGATTTGCTCCCTCTTCGCACATTAAACTAACTCAGGCTCAAGAAAAATTATAGCCACTCTTTCCTTGGTGGTTCTTGGTAGAGTAGGCAGGCTGGCTTTGTCAAGACCTTAAGAAAATGCTCAAGAGAGATAATAAAACCATTCTGCAGAATACTAACAGTGGGAAAGTTCTGAGTTTCCCAGGAACAAAAAGCCCCTTTTATGTCCACCTGCCCTCCCACTTTCACTGCCCATAACTAAGTGAGAAATAGAGGCCAACCTCCACCATGCTCACTCCCTGGACCCCAGGCCTCACCGCCTGTGAGCTGAGCATCTCCGAGATGGACTGGTCGTATTGCTCGGCTAGGATTGCCAGCTTTCGGGTCTGTTCTTCTTTGAGCCGCTTAAGGAGGCTCTTGTGCTGAGCTTTGGGCGTGGTTTCCAGCAAGTGTGCCCGCAGAGCCTTGTACTGCCGAGTCTGGATCTTACACGTCTCCTGGAACTGCTTCTTGATCTGCAGCTCCTTAGACTATGCAGTGGATGGACCGAGGGGAAACGGGGGCAGGGGAGAGGAGGAAGAGGAGGAGGAGGAGGAGGAGGAGGAAAGGAGGAGGAGAGGAGGAACAATCAGGAGAGAAAGGGAGAAGAGAGAGGAGGAAAGGAGACAGAAACAGAGACAGGGAGAGGGAGAGAAACAGAAAACATGTTAGACAGAGGGGGTGGGGGGAACTGTATACAGACAGACATGGAGAAGTGGGATTGTGTTGAGAGAGATCAGGAAGATTCTCAAAGGGCAAAAGATGTAAAGAAAATAAGACAGGTTCCAAGAGCATCTTCAGAATTAGGCGGAAAATTCACGAGAAACAGCAGGAGAGTTCGTGGACAGAAAACTGAGGATTTTTAGAGTACTGAGGGCATACGAAAAGTTTTGACCGTGCAAAGAGAAAACACACCTAGAGATAGAAGCATGTGAACAGATACAGAATGTGCACAAAAGGAGAAAACCAAGTCACACAACACACCCATGGAAGACAGTAACACAGCTAAAGACAAAGAAGGCCCAGGTTTAGTACATCTGGGTGGGAAGGAGGGAAGGAGGATAAGCACCGGGCTGAGAAGTGGATAAGAAGGGGTGGTGGCCCCATACAGGGCAAAGGTGGTGGCCAGAAAGGGCCTGACAAGTTCAATGGACCAGCAGCTGTCACTCTGGCCAGATCTCCACATTGCAGCCAGTCCCTTATGCACTCAGCTCCCACTCCAAGCCCACAACCAATTCCATTTCCATGGCCCCCATACTCTCTGCCTGGCCCCCCAAACTCACCACCCCACTACTGTATAGCATTTCCAATCCCATCCCCCAGCCTTCTAGGATTATGATTGATGCCAGGAGAGAAATTCAGCTCCCAGAAAGAAGGGAATCACATTGGGAACAGGTTGGGAGATAAAGCAGGGGATGAGCACAAAAGGACCTGGAAACTAAGGACTCTCTTAAGGAATCCACAAATGGGAACTGTGGGACCGAGAAGTTATGTCAAAGCTCAGAGGTCCAGACCCCCATGCTGGTGGTGGTCATGATGCAACAAAGCTATGACGGCAGAGAGGATGAGGCTGAGGAGTGAAGGGTTGAGATAACGTAGATGGAGGTGAAGAGGTCATGGAACTGGGGGCCAAGGGTCTGGATCAGGGGCATACCAGGGAGGCTAGGCGGCAGGACAAAGCAGACAGAGGCAGCCTGGGCCAAAGGTACAGTTCCGCTCAGTATTTTATTTGTGTTTGTCTTTTTCTTTTTTTGGTGGGGAAAGGGGGACAGGTTGGAAGGGAGACAGAAAAACAAAATCAAAGAGAGAAAAAAAAAAAACATGACTTCCCACCCACCACCACCCCTGGCCCCAGGCCTGAGTCAATGAGGGTGAGGATGAGCACACACACAGCGGGAGAACAGCAATAACTTAGGGTGGGGGAGGAGCTTCAGGAGAACACAAAGTGTAACTTGCGGGCTCCATAGGGGAGGAGGCTGCCTGTCTAGAGGTCTAAAGGGCTAAGGAGTGGGTGAGGAGGTGGGGAAGTGTACTGAGGAAGGATGGGT